ATATATATATATATCTATATATCTATATATCTATATATCTATATATCTATATATCTATATATCTATATATATCTATATATCTATATATCTATATATCTATATATCTATATATCTATATATCTATATATCTAATATATATATATATATATATATATATATCTAATATATATATATATATATATATATATATATATATATATATATATATATATATATATATTTTTTTATATAAGATATATATATATATATATATATATATATATATATATATAGGTTATCATATAAGGGATGAGGTGATATCGGTTTTATCGCTCGAGGGATGATATCACAATTGTCACGAGCGAGCGAGGGACAATTGTGATATCGTCCCGAGAGCGATAAAACTGATATCACCGAATCCCGAGTACGATAACCTATTTATTATATACTTGTACCTTTATCAGGGTTTGACACCCAAAAGTAAACAGTTTTGAAAAAATAGGATCATTTTAGAATTAAAAAAAAATTGAGCATTTACTGAACAAATATGATTTTAGAAAATAAATAGAACATTCATATAAATAATATACAATTTAAGTCTTTCGTTTTGTATTATCGTTCTTGTTTCCTTCGATAAAACTGTCGACATCAACCAACACGAACCTCGAGTCGGCCATCTTTGTTTTGACAAGGCGCGAACTTTAGCGGGACAAAAAACGATATCCGGGACAAAAAACGATATCGTTTTTATGTCCCGCTGCTTCCTACCTGATAAAGGTACAAGTATGTGATAAATATATATATATATATATATATATATATATATATATATATATATATATATATATATATATATATATATATATATATATATAGCTTAAGATTTTGGTTTACGAAACACAAACAGTGCTCAATACCATATAGATAGAGCGTAATATAGTTTTTCGTTTTACCTCAAAGAACCACAACAGTCTGTTTCATCCGTATAGGAATCATCAGGTGGTGAATAATTTCGAAATTGTGGGTTGCTTTTATGCTATCGAAAGAATGTGCGGAATGCGTGTAGGCGAAACAATGCTTAGGTGAAACAATGCATGCTTGGGTCATTAGGTTTTGTTAACGACCTTGTTTACTCGAAACCGGTTTTTGTGACGACATTTGCCGAAAATTTCGCTTCTTTTATTGAGTAAATTGTCTTTGTTTATGTCTTTCAAAATGCAAAATTTTTCTTCCAAACATAAATTGCAGCGTTTTGATCCCTTAAAAGATCACAAAGAAAATTTCGAAAACAATCCAAAATGCCGACTAATTAATCCCGCAAAAAGCGAATCCGGAAAACTAAGTAAGGTTATTTTAGATAAAATCAATTCCAATTTGAGACAAAAACTAAATTCAAATCAATGGAGAAATACGCAACAACTAATTTCATGGTTTGGCAATATAAACGATAAAGACAGGCACAGTTTTATTTCATTTGATATTGTGGATTTTTACCCATCTATTTCCGAAAAACTTTTAAATGAAGCATTGTCCTGGGCTTCGGATTTGACTACTATTACCGAAAACGATATTTCAATAATAAAACATGCAAGAAAATCTCTACTTTTCGGCAACGGCAAATTATGGACAAAAAAAGACGGAAGCAACAGTTTATTTGACGTCACTATGGGTAGTTTCGACGGCGCTGAAATTTGTGAGTTGGTAGGCCTTTTCATTTCAAATCACTTAGGTAAGAGGTTTGGCAAGGAAAACATCGGACTTTATAGAGATGATGGTTTGGCTATTATAAAAAACAAATCCGCCCGTTTACTAGACAAAACTAGAAAAGAGCTACACAAAATTTTCGAGCAATTTGACCTTAAAATCACCGCCGAAGTAAATATGAACGTTGTAAATTTTTAGATGTTACTTTCGACCTGATCAACGCAAAACACAAACCATACAGGAAACCCAATGACGATCCATTGTACATCCACAGACACTCAAACCATCCACCAAGCATTACCAGACAATTACCTACAGCTATCAACAAACGCATTGCACTTCTCTCATCGGACGAACAAACATTTAAGGAATCCACACCTATTTACCAGAACGCTCTTACACACAGTAACTTTGATCACGAATTTACGTACACTCAGGATGCACCGCAACGGACACGTAGGAATAGGCAACGCAACATAATTTGGTTCAACCCACCATTTAGTAAGAGTGTTAATACGAACATAGGACGGGAATTCTTAAGTTTAATTGACAAACACTTCCCACTACAACACAAACTACACAAGATTTTCAACAGAAACACTTTAAAAGTAAGCTACAGTTGCATGAACAACGTTAAGTCTATAATCACCAAACACAACGCACATATAATTAGGAACAGTCAATCACAGAATACGGAAACTGACAACTGTAACTGCGACAGCAAAAACACTTGCCCACTACCGAAACAATGCATGACCAACAACATTATTTACAAAGCAACAGTCACAACGAACAACACGAACGACACTAAACACTACATTGGTATGACAGCGACTACGTTTAAGGAACGTTACGCTAACCAC